CGGCCATAGTTCAATGACTTCTTAACAACATATTGTACAGCAGAGGTTATAAAACAAAGAGAACACAGATGATATAAATTATACTATTGAGAAGAGGGAAGGCAGAAAAAATTCGTTCTTTCTCTTTTACATCTATGATATTACCCATTTAAAAGTCTTTCCACCCTATCTAGTAATTGGACTAACATATACGGCTTGAAGGTTAGGTAACAAGAGTATAAATGTAGTTCTTGACTTATTTTTTTTCTGAGATAGAGTCTTGCTCTGTTGCCTAGGCTTGAATGCAGTTGCACAATGTTGGCTCACTGCAACTTCCGCCTCCCCAGGTGAAGCAATTCTCCTGCCTCAGCCTCCCTAGTAGCTGAGATTACAGGCAACCACCACCACACCTGGCGAAGTTTTGTATTTTAAGTAGAGACAGGGTTTCCCCATGTTGGCCAGGCTGGTCTTGAACTCCTGATCTTGTGATCTACCTGCCCCGGCCTCCCAAAGTGCTGGGATTACAGCTGTGAGCCACCACACCCGGTCAACTCTTGACATATTTATAGCAATTTGTCCCTTCACTAAATGGGCCTGTCTAGACAACTATGTGTTTTATTTCTTAAGCCTGGTTCTCACTTCATAATGCCATTAGTATATATCTGTCTCTAGAAGTCTGATCTCCCATTTCACTCCCTGAACATCAAAGAATCAGATCATCTGGCTTATAAGAATTGTTTGTAATGTTGGAGTTAATTGGGCAATAAGAAAAGTGTTCAGTTAACTTAGAGAATAAAATTGCCAAACGTCCGTGACCCTTCAATAGTCTGTTTTGGCGGCTTTCAAAGGCTTTTCTTTGCTTCTTCAATTCCCTCCTAGTGCCTGGCCATGTTCCTGAAACATGAAGTTGCTGGATCATTTAAACAATATAATTAATCTTTATAATGTCCCATAGAATTCTTAGATGTAAACATAACTAAACATATTTCTCAACACATAGAATGATTTATAAACTTATTGTTGCCTCTGCTATTAACCTTCTCTTCCCTATTAATAATATTATAATAAAAGCTATCATTTATGGAATTCCTTTGTGGAAATGCCGTTATGGAAATCCTGGCACCATGCTGGGCACTTTACATATATTATTTATAATCCTACCACAACTGTGTTTGGAATAAATAGAATAATCATCATTTCCTGAATAAGAAAACAGGGGAGAAAAAGAAAAGTTAAGTTATAACTACTCCCAAGATTCCACAACCACGAAGGACTACAGCTGGGATTTAAATCTTGGTATATCTGATGCCAAACCTCACCTTCTTTCCACTTTGCAGACACTCTCTAATCATGTTACATCTACTGAATATTAACTCTTTGAGCATACTATAGTTCATCTCTTTAATAAAGACTAGGATGATACTTCTTTACCATTATGATTCAGATATCAAACTTAGTATGCTTCTGAGTTAAAAATCCACCAAAACATCAATGTAAACAGGTTACAGTAATAATATTTGATCTTAAAAAAACCCCACAATGTTTGCTTTTTACAATTAATGAGTATGCTATAATAATATAGCTTTTTTCTACTTTTACATAAATTTATGCACATTTGAAGATAAGAATGATGCATCTGACAAAGCTGTTAGATCCTGAGGTCGAGAACAAGGTCTGATCTATTTCTATATATCCAAGGACTATGCTTGATTGATACCCAACACTCAATTGTTGATGAAAGACAGAATCAATAATTCTCAAGTAATACTTTTTCTCAAAGTAATATTTTAAGATACCTGAAAGAGTAGTTAAAAAAAAAAAAAAAAAAAAAAAAAAAAAAAAAAAAAAAAAAAAAAAAAAAACAATGAAAAAAAAAAAAAAAAAAAAAAAAAAAAAAAAAAGAGAGAATAAACGTTTTTGGTCTGCAGATGAACTTCCTACCTCTCGATCTTTGAGTTTCATGGCGAGTACCAACTGATGCCTGTGGTTAGTGAGAGCCTCCCGGTAATTTCCTTTGGAGAAGAATGCAGAGCCCAGATTCCCATGAGCTCGGCATTCTCCTGTCTGGTCACCTGGATTGAAATGAGGAAAAAAAAAAAGATAAAAATTTTCTAAGTTACAATGTTATTTATAATATACAATGGTCACCTTAATTTAAGAGCCACAGATTTATTAGCTAAGATTTTACTTATCTTCTTTTAGAAAAGTATTTGTTTCTTCCACAAGACACTATGTAGGGAGTTATTGTCCTAGAATTTAAATCTCTGGGTAAAGACTGCTATTATTGTCATAATATACAACTGCAGACAGGGATTTAGATATCTTGAAACAAAAGACCTTAACACAAACTAGCTGCTATTTTAGTCTCCTCATTGCTCTGCTAACGACCTTTGATTCTAAACCACCATCAGCTTGTTGGTTCAGTCATTTGACTCCAAACCTATAAGGAAGTATCTTTACAAGTATGCTGGCGGTAGATTCACCATATCCTTTCCCTTACTGTAATCCTATAAGTCCTTGAATAATCACCATAATGACCATCATAATCATAAGCCATACTTATTTTACAAATGAGAAAACTGGGTCACAGAGAGATTAAGAAACTTGCCCCAAGTCACAAAGCTAGTAGGCAACAGAGCAAGGCTTCTAAACCCAGTAGTCAGACTCCATAATACACACACTATATTATACTCTCTCCTTCAACAAAACAATGATGCATCCTAATGGAGGAAAGAATTAAAATTAAGATGAAAAACTCACCCACCAATGCTATAATTTGACATGTTTTGTAAGCTCAAATCTCTGAAGAGGGCAATTAATCCACATCTCTTAGCCTTTTAGGAGTGTTGGCACCTTGTTATATGAGAAAGCTGTAAAGACTTTAATACTCTAAAATAGAGAATGTTCTAGAGGCACTCGCTTTTTTTTAAAATTTTTTATTTTTAAGAGACAGGGTGTCTTGCTTTGTTGCCCAGACTGGAGTGCAGTAGTGTGATCAGAGCTAAGTGTAACCTTGCATGCTTGGGCTCATGCAGTCTTCCCACCTCAGCTTCCAGAGTAGCTAAGACACAGGTACATGCAACCACACCCAGCTTTTTTTTTTTTTAAATAAAGAGTGTCTCACTATGTTGCCCAGGCTGGTCTCAAATTCCTGGCCTTAGGCAATCCTACCAAAGCACCGGGATTACAGGTGTGAGCAACCATGCCTGGCCATCACTTTTTATTACATATGTTGTTTTCATTCATGTCAGGTTACTCAGCTTTCTTTCTTCCCTTTTTGCACTGAAATAGAAAAAAGAAGCATCACTCTACCTAAGGTCTTGGCTACATCCAAGTCCTGCTGCATATATCCAGTGCTCTTCTCTGTATTTCCAAGAGACCAGTAAGCACTGCTCAGGGCAGAGAAAACAGAACCTCTCAGTTTGAGGCTGCACGTGCCAATCTTCAGTGCGGCTTCTAAGACAACCACAGAGGCCCCATGATGGCCAGCTGTCAGGAGTTCCTGACCAACCACAGACACGACCACAAAGGGACTCTTGTCCAGTTTCATTTTCTGAAGCTGCTGATAAGTGGGCTCGAGGGAGTCTGAAAATCAACAACAACAACAGCAACATTAACAGGAGAATGTAGGATGATACAAAAGCAATCTTTTCTAATGTGCTCTAGAAACAAATGTTTATCATACCTTTTGTGGCTTATTTCACGTATAAACTCCTCAACCTTTATTCTAGCACCATCCTAACTGTCCACTTAACTCATCTGACTAGTATCACAAACCCCAGTCTGTATTTTCCTTCTCCTCACTCTTGCATTACATGTCTTATCCTTTCTTTTGGTCTTTGTGATCATGATGCGCCACCTTCCCTGAATAGTTCCCCCCTCAAAATACAGGCACATCCCTCAAGTCCCACTTGTACCAGGAATATTCCCAGGTCCTCTGGCATACATTAATCTGCGTATCCAAACTTCTGCTTCATTTTAATAGTACTGCACAGTTTGGTCATTAACTATTTTAAAATTGTTCTCCATGTATTAATTTTTAAAATATTTTTCCAGCTAAATCTAAAGACTGCTATAGGACTGTCTTTTGTTACTCCACAGCAAGTGGCACAATGTGGGTACTCAGAAAACTCATCATGGACACAAGGGAAAGTCTCTAACATGTCTGGCATTTGATAGAGGTTTGTTTGTAACAGGTCTTGCTCTGTAACCCAGGCTGGAGTACAGTGGCATAATCTTGGCTCACTGCAGGCTCAACCTTCTAGACTCAAGTAAATCCTTCCACCTCCACCTCCCAAGTAGCCGAGATCACAGGCACACACCATCGTGCATGGCTAATTTTCAAACTTTTTTTGGAGAGATGAGGTCTCATTACATTGCTCAGGCTGGTGTAAAATTCCTCGGCTCAAGCGATCTTCCCGCCTAGGCCTCCCAAAGTGCTAAGATTACAGGTGTGAATTACCATGTCCAGCCTGGTAAACTTGAATCTGAATTACAGATTAATAAACCCGGTTCATATTTTTTCCTAGAAGATGCAATAAAAGAAGCTCTCCCAACAAAACCCTTGTCATTCTCACTGGTAACCCAGTATCCACTGCTGCTTCTGAGACCTGTAGCCCCCAACTAAAAAAAAATATTATCGATTTTTGTTGTGGTCATAAATGAAACCACAAAGAAATCATCTGAATTTATTGAGGTAAGATGGAAGATAAAATTAATGTTGGTTTCATTTTATTTTCATATGGTATTAAAAGGACATAGATAGGGGTAAGTAAGCCATAGGAGATTTTTTTCCCATTTGAAGCTAAGTTTGAATATAAATAACCTCCAAGCTCCTTCTCCCAATTCTCCTTTTTTCCTTTAAAGACAACTGCAGAGGTATTAACTATAGCCCTACAATGAGATTGCACTTATAAAGCATTTATTATTAGTTTTCCTGAAAAACTATTTCACATTAGTTTTTCCACTATGCACATGTTTTTTTAAAAAAAAAAAACACTATAAAAGGGTTGGTCTCTTTAAATCTTGAATCTCCTAGCCAACAGTACTGCATTAAAATGTAATTCTTACAATTTATGACTTTGAATCTAAACTCTCCACTAAAAAGCTCTCATCTGAATCAACATTGCCACAGAAACCTTGAAACCTGGAAACCTGCTGGTGCCTAAAGCATTTTTTTCCTTCAATCAGATCACTAACAGAGAACAAAGAACATTTTTACACCTGTCAAGATTCAAGCTGTGCAGAGTACTGGTAAACACTAGCTAACCAATGGGGTTAAGTACAGGCACAGGAACCCAGGAATTGCTAGAATACAAAAGAACAATACCATAATGAAATACCGTGAGCAGAATTTTGGTGGTGTCCGCTGATGAGTTTGGCAGTTGATGTTGATCACATCAGCATCCCAGTGGCCAATTAGTAGAAACAAAAATAATAGAACTTTAGAGTTGAAAAGATTTTAAAAATATGCTCTCTTAAAAATGAAGAATCTGAATATTTAGGTGATTTACCCAAACTCAGAAAGCTTGGGACAGGGCCAAGATTAGAACACACTGTAGGGCTCTAAGCCCATGTTCTATGATATTGCACGAGGCAAGATTATTAGTTGCTAGTGACAGAAACCAATCTTGGCTGCTTGTAAGCAGAAAAGAAACACACTGAGTGACAACTGGGAAAGGTGGAAAACCAGGCCTCCAAACCCACAGTCAAAATCATACCACAAAAGCTGCCTGTTGAAGGCAACTTAACCACTGCAACCAAACACAGGACACCACAGCTTACAATGCTCCTCCCCACACCACCTCACTGAATGCCACCCTTAGAAAATGGGTGTCACCATTGCCACCTCTACCACCAGAACAAATTCTGTGCTATCCTTTCTTCTTTGAACCTTTAGCCTCTGATTCAAGGATGGAGTCCCAGCTGCTAGGGAGAATGGGAAAATTGGGATATGATGTTTTCAGCTTTTATTATAGACAGCAGAAGCGGAAGTGTATGATGGAGAATTCTAAACAGAGGGAAGAGTGTTCAGAAACTGTCAGCCCAAATTGAATGGTGGCTAGCAAAGATATTATGCTTTACTTAGTGACGGTTCTTCCCATAGCACCCCCAGTTAAGTTAGAGAAATAATCATCTAATTGAGCCTCTGAAATTATACAACAGTGGTAGAAAGAGCAGTAAGAAATATCTAGAGGATTCCCTAAAGAGAAAGAAATCTTTAATTGTACAAATTTTCACTAGATGAAAATGAAACTGATGAAAGAGAAGAAGATGAAATTTCCTTTTTCAGTATATAGGAAATACACTTCAAAAGATAAATTATAATGCAAAGATCAGTATAAGGCTAATATACAAAACATGCTATAAGAGTTTGGAAAAGGGAAGGATTATCAAGAGCAACTGGAAAGCTTCATGGAAGCAGAACTTGATCTCCTGAAGAAAGAGTAGGGCTTAGCCAAGTCTTTGTTATTTTCTGAGAGTAGAAGGCATTTTATGCAGATCTGTCCTAACAAAAGTGTCAAGAGAAGATAGATACATGAAATGACAAGGCCTGCTGAGCAGGCCAGCTTGAACTGATCAACAAATATTTGTAGGGAAGGAAATTGACGTGAAATAATGAGGAAAACACTGAGCAAAATACATACAGACACCTGTATTTCAAAGTCACATAGCCTCAGTCTCTCACTTCGTCAATGCATAGGTTGTAACTGTGGTGATTGTTACACAAATCTATTCATGTATATATGAATGTCTACATGTACAGATATATACACACAAAAGTCCATTTCACTGTATACAAATTTTAAAAAAAATTCTTTTTTTTTTTTGAGACGGGAGTCTCACTCTGCCACCCAGGCTGGAGTGCAGTAGCACAATTTCAGCTCACTGCAACCTCCACCTCCCAGGTTCAAGTGATTCTCCTGCCTCAGCCTCCCAAGTAGCTGGGACTACAGGTACACGCCACCTCGCCCGGTTAATTTTTGCATTTTTAGTAGAGACGGGGTTTCACCATATTAGCCAGGCTGTTCTTGAACTCCTGACGTTGTGATCTGCCCACCTCGGCCTCCCAAAGTGTTAGGATTATAGGCATGAGCCACCGTGCCCAACCAAATTTTTAAATTTTTTAATATCAAATTTCTCAGCTTGGGCTCTAATTATGTCTCATTGGTCCACACCCACAATCAAAAGCTCAAGATGGCAGCTGTATATGCTTTTGATGAATACAAGTGGTAAGGTAAGTTTTCTAAACATATAGGTGATCGCTACAATTATTTCCAGCTCTATTATTCTAATTCCCATTTTAGAGTAAACTTGGGCTATTGGCAAAGGGACTAATTTTGAGATTGTATCAGGCTAGGTGAAACAGAGTTTTGGCAGTCTATAGCTATTAAGACGTTTTTCTTTCTAGAGTTTATGGATAATACATGAAATAGGCAATGTCAAACCAATTCCATAAGAGCATAAAGCCCTTTGCAACATCAGTTCAACAACTATCAAGTGTTTTTAAAATGCAAAGCCTTTAAAAATTTAAGATGAACAAAATAATATTTCCTAACACTTGATGAGCTTGTAGGAATGTAGCAGAAGCTAATAATAAACAAACTCATACTCAACTAAGAGATATTCAGTGCTATGCAATGGCGTGTCACTTTTATATAGAAATAGGCCTAAAAAAAGCTCTTTCAGTATATACATAAAATAAAAAGTCACATGCTCAGAGAGAATTGTGTCATCATAATAGTCGGTAGTTTTTTTCTTTCTTAGTAATATATAAAATAATGAGGCCAGGCATGGTGCTCATACCTGTAATCCCAGCACTTTGGAAGTCAAGGCCAATGGCCCAAGAGTTCAAGGCCAGCCTGGGCAACATGGTGAAACCCCACCTCTATAAAAAAAATACAAAAATTAGCTGGGTGTAGTGGCACAGATGTGCAGTCCCAGCTAGCTACTGAGGAGGCTAAGGTGGGAGGATCACCTTAGCCTGGGAAGGTTGAGGCTACAGTGAGCCATGACCATGCCACTGCACTCTGGTCTAGATGGCAGAGTGAGGGCCTGTCTCAATAATAATAATAATAATAATAATAATACAACTTTAAATCCAGAATTCTTAGAAGTGGTAAAATGTGCCACGGGACCCCAAAAGAGAAAGGTGTTATTAACTCTATTAGGGTAGGTCTGGGAAGGCTTCCCATAGGAAGTGGCACCTGAATAGAAATTGGAGATATGAGAAACCATAATGTGTTCTAGGAACTGCAGGAAGTTTAAGTTGAGAATATCTGGATATAAGAAGGAAAGAGAGGCAAGGTCTTCTATACTAAGGCCTGAGAGAAACTTCTCCAGTGAGTGCTCATAAAGAGGAACTTATGTACTATGCAGTGTTCATTCCACATCCACACCACTACACTTGCCCTAAACATAAGAGCAATTAGTACTGCTGCTGCTTTCACTCCTCAGTAAGAAGAATGGCATCACACTGCAGAGGCCTGCCATTAGATGCCAGTTCCTGACTTTCAAAACAACATTAGGAGATGGATATTATAATTTCCCTCTACGGAAACACAATGAAGTATAGAGAAGGGAAGCAACCTTTCTCAGCCAATGGACTAGCAAATGGCAGTGCTGGAATTAGATTCCAATCTTTTTGGGGGGAAAAGCCTGTGTTTTTAATATAACACTTCAGAAGGAAGCCTCCTGTGAAAAGAGACTCCCACCTAAAAGAGAATCAGAGGGAATGAGCCCACTAGGGTAGACAATTAGGCAAATAAAAGGTGAGCCCCAACTTGACCCTGCAAGAAAAGCTTATACATTTAACAGGCATTTTCCATCAGCACTTCAAAAAATCAGCTTCCCTGGGTCCCCAGGAACTGGCAGAAACACCACAACAGGTGATAGCCCACAAATTTAACAGTCTTTACATTGCAGAATTAACAGGAAGAAAGACAATATACACAAAAGGTCCCCAGCAAGACGCACCCCTAGCATCTTTAGAGGAACAAATAAAGGTAAACTCAATCTCATTTAGTAATTACATTATTAAATCCACTTTTGGCAGTAATAGTATGGTACAACATCCAAATTTGCTTAAATGTTTTTAACATACAATAAACTGAAATTGCTGAAACGTTATCAAAAAAAGAAATAGAATATGGTAAAATGATTACTTGAGAAGTCATGTAAAAGAAAATATCAATTTATATTTATATTTTCATTAATGATTTAAGAGAAATACATCATATAAAATAAGTAATATCCACAGGAGAAAAGGTTTAGCTGATATCTGATTTGCGTGCATGAGTGAAACTAAAACAGATTTAATTCATTTAGAAATGTTGGCAACAATAATAAAAAATCAAATGAGTTTCAACGTGGAAAAATATAATGTATTTATATGGGGGAAAGGGTATATTAATATAGATTGGTCCTGCCTTAAAAAAAAAAAAAAAAAATCTTAAAACTTCCACAAAGACCAAACCACAGGAACACTGTGCAGGTCATGAGAGTTTTGTCTGCTTATAGAAGCACCTGGACCAGAGAGTTTTCTCTTGCATTTAAGGATTACAAAACAAGCTGGTCTGAGTGCAATAGCAGTTACAACTAACTGATCAAAACCAGTTACAGACTTATCCTTCTCCACTCGCACTGCTTCACTTGACTAGCCTTTAAAATAAAAATAAAAATAAAAATTACGAAACAAAAACAACTGACATTAACAGATCAGATGTATATGTAAAGTGACTCAAACTGCACAGCTATGCGACAATGGCAAAACTTAGGAAGTTGCAGGAGGCTAAAATAAACAATGGCTAAAAAAGTAGGCAGCAAATGATGAGAAATTTTGTCAATTACAACCATATAACAAAAAGAGAGGTTATTAAGATGTGGGATGATGCACAGAACAACACTGTGCAAAGCCACAGACTTCATAAATTGTTGATAAGAAAAGCCCACCTGGAATAGATACAGTGGTAAAGGCAATGCTAAAAATAGATGAGATAAATTAAATTGCCTTAAGGGAAGAGAAGAAGATATTGAAGCACTCCAGGCACCAGTAAGAAGCTGCTTTTCCAGGTTCAGCCTTAGGTCACTTACATAAGATGGGAAAGAGCCTGGTACAGAAACCCTAAGAGTGACAGCAGCTCTGAGCTATTTCTAGCAGTGCAGGGAAGATTTCCTTACATTTATCTAAATAGATTGCTTCAAAGGCAAAATGGCAAGTATGATTTTGCTGATCTCAACACATTCACTCCAATATTCTAAGGCAGCAGCAGAAGCACCTCAGAATAAAGAGGTAATATCTTCATTAATTAAATAAAAATGTTTCATGTAAATTCCTTGTGGAGGGGTATAAGGAGGCAACAAGAAAAAACTAGAAAATGGAGAAATAAGATGATTTTTTTTTCTTGTTGTCCATTCTGCCCGTGCTCCCTGAGCCCAGGCACTCCAAAATGCATCTGCTCTAAGTCAGAGTTTATTAACAGCAGGTCCCCGAGGGGGTTCAGCCTGTAGCAAAACCTCAGCTTTGTACAGTCTATAAAATCACATGAAGAGAGGTTTTCTTAACACTTTTTTCCTAAAACATGAAATCCCTAAATTTCAGGAAAATATTTTTTATACAAATGAATTACCCAGAGATCAAATGAGTACCATTTGGTTCATCAAACTTTTATTTGGCACATATTTTGAGCCAAATATAATACTAGCCAGTATATTTAAAATATCTAATGATGCAAACATTTTCAAAACTAGATAAAATATTAAATGATGCTGCCAGAGGTTCATTTTTCCACATGAAAAATTTAAAAACATACCATTTCAGACTAAAAAACAGAGTTCTGCTTGGCATACCCTGTTTAAAATGAATCATTATTAGCTGTCTACTGTTTACCATAAATCTGCCTCACGGTCTCCATCACTCCCCAAAGACAGCAACTGCTATATATGTTTAGTCAAATCTTCCCAAGAACTCATTCCCAAAAAAATCAATGTTCCTCAAAATGACGCCAATCTGTTTTGGGCCTCAGAACTCCTCCAACCTCCACAGTAGCATTTTCAATCCATTCTTTTGTTTTCCAGAATAACAATCAGTGTAAAGTAGAAGTAGGAACGGGGAGAAAATAATGTAAACTGGTGTCTGTCTTGTTTCTTTCTTCTTTTAATTCAACACAATCTTTTAATGCTCCTCTGAAAAATCTGAGACACAGCCTACAATTAGATATATATTTCCTTTATGAAATATAAGAATGTTAAATGTCTTCTCTTATTTCAGTATTTCTAGAAGGCATATTGGTCCAGCTGAAGAATGAGTTTCCTACTAGAAGTGTGGTGGTTTAGAATTACAGAATTTCAGACCTACAGAAAAACTATAAGAGCTTTTAAATAATCCTAAAATCCAGAGAAGTTAATCCATTTATCCAAGGTCATACAGTTAGTTAATAAAAAATTTAAGAATATAATATAGGTCCACAAAATTTTAGGTGAGTGGCCCTTCTACCATACTATTCTGCCTCATTAATGTCAGTTGTTGGCAGTGATTCTTGATCTTTCTTTGTCTAAAATATCAAATCTTAGCAAATTTGATAGCCTATCAATTCTCTGTGCCTGAGCTTAAATGCTTGGAAGGCTGGAAGTTTTCTACTTCAAATTAATGTTATACCAAGTACTTTTATCATATTTACCTCTCATGGGAGATTTCATGGCGGCTTCCACCATCCCCACCAGAAGCTGGAGACTCTTGGGGTCTTGAGCCAGTCCAGATGCAAAGGCTGCCAGGGCATCGGCATGACGTCCAAGGTACTGGAGGGCAACACCCTGTCGGAAGTATGCCTAGAAATAAAGGATATATGACGCACGTTTTGCCAGTGCTCCAACAAGGCTGATGGTGATTCTTTACTAAAACAACAGATCGGCAGAAGTAAGATTGAGATGTACTTGATATAAAAACATAGTGAACAGTTCATGATAAAATGAACTAACTTATAATATCATAAGCATACTTTTATCAGGCAACTTCTATTTAAAATTTTCATCTTTTCCCTTCTAAGACATCAATTTTATCATATTCTTTGGTATATAATATTCACATATTGCTTTTATTGGTTTTGAACTATTTTAAAAATATTTTGCATCCCACCTTTAATGCCATAAGCTCCTCTGAACAGAGACTCGAAGATTTCTTTATATCTTATGTAAGTATCTGGTACAGTGCAAAAATAAATGAGATAAATTCCACTTATTTTCTGTTTCCCCCCTTATTTAAAAAGGAACAAATCAGTGTGTGATTACTATCAAGATAATTTTAATAATGTGTAACACAACATGGCTACTTAACTTTTAATGTATTGTTTCAAACATAATATTTAAAAGCAATTACCTATGTGTGCTTTGCTTAGAAACCAATATCGGTCCAATATACTTAGAAATTGTCACAAATTATATTCCTGGGATCTAAATGAAGTTTAAAACTCTTAAAACTACCACTCAATAAAACATACATAATTTAAAATTTTTATATTACACATGACTATACGTAGAGAGTGAGAAAGCACCTTTCATGTTTATAAAATATTTTTATTTATCTTTATAATGACTCTTTGAGGTAATTTAAGATAGGCCACATCATTCAGTGTTTCTATTAAAAAACACTGAATCCATAAACAGAATGAATACTCAAATTAGTATGGACTATGCAGGCTTCTATTAAAGTATCAGCAGCTGTTAAAACTGAGACTCCGGTAAGATAATAAGCTGTAAATGCACTTTCATTACTAATTCATAGGATCACTTCCTTTCACTGGACTCAGCCACTGTTTTAATCTTTAATGTGTTTACAAACATTTTCATTACCTTTTTCATTTCACATTTTAGGTGGTTTCTATATTCCAAGAGGCAACAGCTTATTCCAACTAAAAATAACTATAGTTTACATAAGTATAGAAATGCTATGTTAAAACTAAGCTAAAAATATACATATTTATGTTTTTATATACAAATATGCCAAATAACTGTAAACTTATTAAGAGACACAAAAAATGTCTTCGTTACTGATTTCACGTTATAAGAAACAAAAATCTTAAGTTAGTGTCATCGAATTTTGATAGCTTCTTACATATTTAAAGCAAACCTTTATCATTCATTACTTAAGAAGGCAACTGATTTTCCTGTCTGCCAAGTAAAACCACTGAAACATAGGATTCACCTCTCACTAGGGAAGTAGGTAAAGTTCAGTGTTAAATGCAAACTTTGTTCTCATATTCACACAGGAGCTCAAGGAGAATGTGCATGTTTTGTTTTCTTAGAACACTTACAAATTAGATAAGAAAAGTTAAGACTGGACCATGCCTCCCACAATCTTGGTTTCTTTTCTTCAGGAAAAGATTTTAAAAAGAGGTATAGGAGAGAAGGCTCAAAGGTCATCTTTGGTCTTCCCTTATGCCCGTCTAGAGTCCCTAATCCAACTTTGTAAGATTTTACCTATCAGAAGCTTAGAGTTGTATCCCTGTAAAGATAGCATAACGAGTATAGCTCTGAAAACCCGCTGCTCAAACTCACAGAGTGGGGCTTTCCCAACATTTATCCACGCAATATTCACTGCATGTACAAATGGATGTTGAAGATGCTGGAGAGGATGTGGAGAAACAGAAACGCTTTTACACTGTTGGTGGGAGTATAAATTAGTTCAATCATTGTGGAAGACAGTGTGGCGATTCCTCAAGGATCTAGAACCAGAAATACCATTTTACTCAGCAATCCCATTACTGGGTACATACCCAAAGGATTATAAGTCATTCTACTATAAAGACACATGCACACGTATGTTTACTGTGGCACTGTTCACAACAGCAAAGACTTGGGACCAACCCAAATGGTAGACTGGATAAAGAAAATGTGGTACATATACACCATGGAATACTATGCAGCCATAAAAAGGGATGAGTTCAGGGCCTTTACAGGGACATGGATGAAGCTGGAAACTATCATTCTCAGCAAACTGACACAGGAATGAATACCAAATACTGCATGTTCTCACTCATAAGTGGGAATTGAACAATGAGAACACATGGAAACAGGGAGGGGAACATCACACACTGGGGTCTGTCAGGGGGTTTGGGGCTAGGGGAGGGACAGCATTAGGAGAAATACTTAATGTAGATGACACGTTGATGGGTGCAGGAAACCACCATGACACATGTATACCTATGTAACAAACCTGCACGTTCTGCACATGTATCCCAAAACTTAAAGTATAATAAAAAACAAACAAAAAACACAAATGGCTGTTGAATAAAAATGAGTTGTTTATCCTTTTGTGAAAGATATGTCACTATGGATTTCAAGCTGATGATAAAACCTAGATTGTGAGTTACTGTAATAGAATAAAGAGAATCCAGTACAGTACTTGGCAGAGAGTTAAGTACTCAATAAAGTTAGCTATTTTCATTATTAGTTAATGGGGAAAGAATCTTAATTACAACACATAATTATAGACTAACAGAATACAAGGGAGTCCAATAAATATTTTATTATTCAATATAATATTATTCAATTTCTATCACTGTCTCATTCTTTCCCTTGTTCCAGAAAAGACTATGAGCAATCAATAAACTATATAATTGAGAATTCTCATTGCTATAAGGCTCCCAGTCAAAATCTAAGCCACCTGGCTAAAAGAAATTGGTATTGCCAAGTTCTGAGACAGATAACAGCTACCCATAGGGTCCTTTGCCAGCCTCTCCAAAGCAAAGGTGAGGATGTGTCAAGATTCACAGCTGTTTGTCACAGCTTCAAGAAAACTGATGTGACCTGCCATAGCCTATCTGCTTCTCCTTCTATGGGTTCCTGCTACTAACATTTATTGCCACAGGTTTCACAGAAAGCCACTTCATCTGAGAGAGGTACAAGTTTTGATCACTTAGGACTGAGTAGAGACAGTACATGTGCAGCATGCCAAAGCTGGAATCTCTAGGGCAATGTTGAATACTTGGTGCCCAGTCAACATCAGATCATATACACATTTACTTCATGAACCCACCACACATACACCACATGCCGGTCATTGGTCTGGCAGCAGATGGAGAAGAAAAGGCAGCATGGACTAACTGTTGAGAACACTATACCCTGAGTACAATGATTTTAAGCTGAAGCTTTAGCCAAGAGAAACATATAGGAAGCTAGTTAATACAATGGACTAAAGTAGGATGCCTAGATTTTCACATGTTCCATTCATTTACTTTCTTGCCGTTCACCACAAATACACCACAGTGATTATTCCATGCATACTACTAGGTGATTTCACAAATCGTATAAAGACAACTGGATTACAAGAGTGAATTTCCATTACTTCTTTCCCTCAATTGACATTCCCTGAAAATCGACAGTGCCAGGCATTGTTAACACAGAACACAATTAAAAACAAGACAAGAGTACCCTCAAGGTGCTCACAGTTGAGAAGGAAAGAATATAAAAGCTTTTAAGTATCTTAACTGCTAGCTGCAGTAAGTGCTAACTGAAAGTAAATAATGCTGCAGTATTTCAAAGGTAACAAAAATGTAATTAATGACCAAAGTATTTATGACCAATTGTCAAAATTGTTAGTACTACTAGCATTTGCTTTTTATTAAGTGGTATTTCTCTTATCTCAAAGGGTTAAAGTAAAAACACTGAAAGGCTAAATAAGTGAAACAGTAAACAATTCACTCTGGAAGCAAGGAAGAACCTTTAAGTCTTTACTTTCAACACATCATTCCTGGTTCAGAATTCCAAAATGTCACTGAACCCAACAATGACCTAATACCTTATTCTCCACTTGCCTAAATGAGTAACAAGGTAAACTACTATGCTCACAGGTACATGTGTATAATTATAACAATATATATAACAAATACATGTAATACATAATGATATATACAATAGTGTATAATCATATGTACAATGCATAACCAAGTACTTATTTCAAGCATTTGCAAATAAACTGCCTTTGATTTTACTGGTATTTTCAAATATTATACTTTCAAATTCTTTTTTTTTTTGAGACAGAGTCTTGCTCTGTCATGCAGGCTGGAGTGCAGTGGCACGATCTCAGCTCATTGAAACCTCCACCTCCTGGGTTCAAGTGATTCTCCTGCCTCAGTCTCCTGAGTAGCTGGAACTGCAGGCACGCACCACCACTCCCAGCTATTTTTATATTTTTAGTGGAAATGTGGTTTCACCATGTTGGCCAAGCTGGTCTCAAACTCCTGAACTCAAATGATCCACTGACCTCAGCCTCCCAAAGTGCTGGATTACAGGTGTGAGCTACTATGCCTGGCCTACTTTAATATTCTTAGTCTGTATGTTACATTTGGAATTTGAACTTTTAAAATCTGAAGAATAACTATTTCTAACATAGTGTTATATCTTCTAGTAAATACATTTTCCACATAATCACCATCTTTGTTCAACTATACTTGTAAATCACATGATTTTCTACTAAAATTACCCTTATTTTCTTTTAAAGATGAGTAGAAATGGGGAAAATAGAAATCTGATGCTAGTTTTTAAAAAGCAGCACCACTGATTTATAATTTAACACAACTGCGTCAAAAGCAAAAATGATCATGAGTCCAAAACTAATGTATACAAAACAACTTTGTTCAACTGTGATGGAAAAGGATAAAGTTAGAGGATATGTAAAACTTGGTTTTGAAAGAAAAGATAATTTTTGAAAACTTTATATTTTTAATTTTTGCAGGTACACAATAGATGTATATGTTTATGGGATACATACATTTAATACAGGCATATAATGCACAACAATCACATCAGAGTAAATGGGGTGTCCATCATCT